AAGGACGACCATCATCCCCGTACCTAAGAAAGCACATGCAACATGCCTTAATGACTACCGCCCAGTGGCTCCAACCTCCGTAATCATGAAATGCTTCAAGAGGTTGGTTGTGGTCTACATCACCTTGAGCCTCCCAGCCTGCCTCGATCCGCTGCAATTTGCCTACCGATGTAAGAGGTCCACAGCGGATGCCATTTCCTTAGCCCTGCACTCATCCCTGGAACATCTGGATGACAAGTTAACCTACATCAGACTCCCACTTGTTGTCTACAGCTCCACCTTCAACACTATAATGCCCTCCAGACTGATTTCAAAACTCTGGGACCTCGATCTCTGCTCCGCCCTCTGCAACTGCATCCTTTGCTTTCTGACCCACAGACCACAATTCGTGAAGATAGATAACTGCACCTCCTCCTTGATAACCCTCAACACTGGTGTCCCCCCCCACCGTGCGTTCTCCGCTCCCTACTATATTCCCTGTACACCCTTGACTGTGCCGCCAAATTCTGAACGAACACCATCTACAAGTTTGCTGACGACACCACTTTTTGGTAGGACGGATATCAAACAATGATTATTCAGAATACAGAAAGGAGATAGAGGGCTTGGTGTTGTGGTGCAATGACAATCTCTCTCTCTCGATGTCAGCAAAACAAAAGAACTGATCATTTCCTTCAGAAAGAAAGGCGGAGAACACACCCCCACCTACATCAACAGAGTGGAGGTTGAGGGTTGAGAGCATCAAGTTCCTAGGAGTGATGATAACTAACAACCTGTCCTGGACTTTCCACATAGATGTTACAGTAAAGAAGGCACAACAATGTCTCTTCTACCTCAGGCGGCTTAGGAAATTTGGTATGTCCGTAAGGACACTCACCAACTTTTATAGATGCGCCGTATAAAGCACACTATCCAGGTGCAAGACGGCCTAGTATGGCAACTGCTCTGCCAAGAACGTGAGAAACTACGGGAAACTTGTGTGCACAGCCCAGACCATCACGGAAGCCAACCTTCCATCCATGGATAACATCGTGTAGAGCTGGATGAACACAGCAGGCCAAGCAGCATCAGAGGAGCAGGAAAGCTGACGTTTCGGGTCGAGACCCTTCTTCAGAAATGGGGGAGGGGAAGGGGATTCTGAAATAAATAGGAAGAGAGGGGGAGGCGGATAGAAGATGGATAGAGGAGAAGATGGGTGGAGAGGAGACAGACAGGTCAAAGAGGCGGGGTTGGAGCCAGTAAAGGTGAATGTAGGTGGGGAGTTAGGGAGGGGATAGGTCGGTCCAGGGAGGACGGACAGGTCAAGGAGGCGGGATGAGGTTAGTGGGTAGGAGATGGGGGTGGGTCTTGAGGTGGGGGCAAGCTGGGCTGGTTTTGGGATGCGGTCGGGGGAGGGGAGATTTTGAAGCTTGTGAAGTCCACATTGATACCCTTGGGCTGCAGGGTTCCCAAGCGGAATATGAGGTGCTGTTCCTGCAACCTTTGGGTGGCATCGTTGTAGCACTGCAGGAGGCCCAGGATGGACATGTTGTCCAAGGAGTGGAAGGGGCAGTTGAAATGGTTCGCGACTGGGAGGTGTAGTTGTTTGTTGCGAATTGAGCGTAGGTGTTCTGCAAAGCAGTCCCCAAGCCTCCGCTTGGTTTCCCCGATGTCGAGGAGGCCACAATGGGAACAGCGGATATAGTATAGCACATTAGCAGATGTGCAGGTGAACATCTGCTTGATGTGGAAGGTCTTCTTGGGGCCTGGGATGAGGGTGAGGGGGGAGATGTAGGGGCAGGTGTAGCACTTGCTCCGGTTGCACGGAAAAGTGCTGGGTGTGGTGGGGCTGGAGGGGAGTGTGGAGCGGACAAGGGAGTCACGGAGAGAGTGGTCCCTCCGGAAAGCAGATAAGGGTGGGGAGGGAAAAATGTCTTTGGTAGTGGGGTCAGATTGCAGATGGCAGAAGTGTCAGAGGATGATGCGTTGGATTCGGAGATTGGTGGGGTGGTACGTGAGGACGAGGGGGATTCTGTTTTGGTTGTTATTGCGAGTAGGGGGTGTGAGGGATGAGTTGCGGGAAATGCGAGAGACATGGTTGAGGGCATTTTCGACCACTTTGGAGGGGAAGTTGCAGTCCTTGAAAAACGAGGACATCTGGGATGTCCGGGAGTGGAATGCCTCATCTCTGGAGCAGATGCGGCGGAGGCGAAGGAATTGGGAATAGGGGATGGCCTTTTTGCAGGAAGGTGGGTGAGAGGAGGTGTATTCTAGGTAGCTGTGGGAGTCGGTAGGCTTGAAATGGATATCGGTTTCCAGGCGGATGCCAGAGATGGAGACAGAGAGGTCCAGGAAGGAGAGAGAGGTATCCAAGATGGTCCAGGTGAACTTAAGGTTGGGGTGGAAGGTGTTAGTGAAGTGGATGAACCATTCGAGCTCCTCATGGGAGCACGAGGTGGCGCTGATACAGTCCTCGATGTAACGGAGGAAAAGGTGGGGGATAGGGCCAGTGTACCTTTGGAAGAGGGATTGTTCCACGTATCCTACAAAGAGGCAGGCATAGCTTGGGCCCATGCGGGTACCCATGGCCACCCCCTTTGTCTGTAGGAAGTGGGAGGAATTGAAAGAGAAGTTGTTGAGGGTGAGGACGAGTTTGGCTAAGTGGATGAGGGTGTCAGTGAAGGGGGATTGGTGGGGCCTGCGGGACAGGAAGAAGCGGAGGGCCTTCAGGCCATCTGCATGGGGAATGCAGGTGTTTAGGGACTGGACGTCCATGGTAAAGATGAGGTATTGGAGACCAGGGAATTGGAAGTTTTGGAGGAGGTGGAGGGCGTGGGTGGTGTCACGGACGAGGGTCGGGAGTTCCTGGACCAAGGGGGAGAAAATGGAGTCGAGATAGGTGGAGATAAGTTCGGTGGGGCAGGAGCAAGTGGAGACAATGGGTCAAATCAGGGCAGTCAGGTTTGTGGATTTTGGGAAGGAGATAGAAACGGGCGGTGCGGGGTTGGGGAATGATGAGGTTAGAGGCTGTGGATGGGAGGTCACCTGAAGTGATGAGGTTGGGGATGGTTTGGGAGATGATGGTTTGGTGGTCGGGGGTGGGATCATGATCAAGGGGACGGTAGGAGGAGGTGTCAGAGAGCTGGCATCTGGCCTTGGCAATGTAGAGGTCAGTGCGCCATACTACAACTGCGCCTCCCTTGTCCGCGGGTTTTATGGTGAGGTTGGGATTGGAGTGGAGGGCTGCATGTTCTGTGGGGGAGAGGTTGGAGTGGGTGAGAGAGGTGGAGAGGTTGAGGCGATCGATGTCTTGATGGCAGGACTCCATTTACACTTCTCACTGCCACAGAAAGGCTGCCAACATCATCAAAGACCTCTCCTACAACTTTTTCTGTCAAGCAGACTATAGAGAAGCTTAAACGCACGCACCCAGTTCAAGAACAGCTTCTTCCCTGCTGATGTTAGACTGATGAATTGACTCTAACTTCAGATAATGTTGAACTTGTTAGTGTTGATCTTGCTTCTCGCACCTCCTGTGCACTGTAACCTGTGTGCCTCACTCTTAAGCACCCTATGATCTGTATGTCCATGATTACTATGATCTGCCTGTACTGCTGGCAAACAAAGCTTTTCAGTGTACTTGAGTACATGTGACTACAATAAATCATATCAAATAAGCTTATGAAAATAAATTTGCTTGCTTTACAGTTCTAATACCTACTTCAAATGTAGGGGAGCCCAAGTGAGCTTTGATATTGGCAGCGATTACAAGAGGATTACTGTACTTCAGACTCTGCTTTGGGCTGCTTTTGGAATTGGCTGAGAGTCACTCAGATTGTAAAATACATATTGACACAACTACATCAGTAATGAGTCACTGCAAAGGCCAGTCTTGAAAGTTTCCAATTCCATGACCAAAACTATGGCAATCTCCTGAGTCCAGGGGTGCATTATGCAAAGTGGAGGATAGTTAACATGGCACAAATGTGATGTGTAAGATAAATCTCAGTTGTTTATGATAATGTTTGATGGAGGGGATTGATCAAATCATTTTCATCTGGCCAAGTATAGTTATACAGCCATGAAAACCAAAATCTAATCCTCCCAAGATCCAATGTTGATGCTGGCCTGGTGTAGAAGAATCGTCTCTCTGGAGATGAGTAGAGCAGATTGTTGAGGCTGAGCAAGATCAGAGTTTGGGGAATTTGAGAGCTGAAACAGAAGTAGACTGTGTAGTGTGAGGGATCAGACACATGCTTCTATAAACAATCTCCAAACATTAAACTAGTTGATTTGCCACAAATGAATACTCCTTTTTAACATTGTCTTGTTTCTGGAGCTTAGGTAGGTTGAATTTTCACCCTCGTCATTGAAAAAACCTCAAACTAATTATTTTGATCTGTTAAAATGATAAATACTAATTTAGCTTTTACATTCTGATACTGTAGGCTAATGTGGAGTTGTGCTGTGGGTGAATTGGGTCAGATTAATTTGATTGTCCTAATCCACCAGCATGGAGGAAGTGGTGAGCAGCCTTGGTTATATCAAGATGGGTTAGAAGCAGTGACATGAGATTCTGCATGTCCTGAGAACTTGAGGTTGTGCCGGAAGAACAATTTGCTGGTGCACATTTATGATATGCATATACACAAACTTCTAATGTATGGTTCCTGGCTCTGTACAATCAGTGTTCTTTTCCAAGCACCTATTTAATGTTCAATCTATCTTTATTTTGCTGCCTTTACAATGAAGCTTTCCTATTTTGAAAGGACATTGTGACTTTTGTTCAGCAGTTACATGGTTAACTGTAAATTCCCAAACAATTGTCCGAGTGAAGTGATTTAACATTTAGAAATGCTGAACAATGGAGTGCATATAAACTTAAAAATCATATCGTCAAGTGTTTTGTGTAAAGTCTGGCTCAGTACTAACTTATAACTGTGTGTTGCCCTTTATTGGTATTGGAGCACCTATAAATAATGCTTCTCTTAGAAATGTTCATCATACTGTCATGGCTGCTCCTTTTATTTATCTCCTTAGATCCGAGTGAACAGCTCTGAGAAATTTAAAGTAAAGCAAGTAGATGATGAAAAGGAGCTAGAAATTGCAGGGGTGTGGAGTTGGATTGTGGAATCGACAGCGTCCATGTTAAAGGAAAAAGTGAATGAAACTTACATTAACGTCGATCTTTTCAGCAACAAAACCTGCTTCAAAGTGGAACCGAGCAACACAGAGGCTCAGTATGACGTTCTATTGACAAAACGTGAGTTTTTCTTACTGTATATCTATTCACTTTCTTACTGTATATCTATGCTGTCACCTTCTCTCTAATGGAACTGCTTTCATAATGTTGATTGTTACTATTGGGGATTTTTTTCAATATCTATTTCCTTGTGTAAATGTCTTGCCAATTGCTTCTATCTGCAAACAGTTTGCTACAAATTGATCCTGCAGCTTTATAAACCAAACAACAATTAAAAACAGGCCAAATCAAAGTATCCTTTTTGATTTTGGTGAAATGCTTACAAGAGTATATAATATGTCCACTATATCACTGATTTTCTGGAAAACCGGGAAATATTACCCTATTGGAGCCTGTCTAATACAGGTTAAATAGTCCCAGATGATTTTTTTTTACAAGGAAGCAGGATGACACAAGCAAATTACCAACACAGTACATGTATATTTGTTGTAACTCTTTAAATATAAAATATTCCTTTTTTTTCTTCCTTAGACAAATATCTCTGGAATTCAGTCAGCCTATGATATATGTTAGATGCAGAATTTTTCATTCTTGTGTTGAATTGTACTGAGGTCGAAGCCTACAGACTTCATCCCTCTCCACAATCTGCCCCAAGTGATTGTGTACTTCACATATGTTTATCTGCAAGCTATTTGACTGTGAATTGTGGAAACTGCCTCATCTGAACTTGATGGTCCTGCGTAAATTTTTTTTTAGGGGGGGCGGTAAAGCACAGCCAGTTCAGTATGACTTTTTTTTTAAAAGTTTGACTTATTGAATCCTCAGTATCCAATGGACTGTAGGTATTAACTAAGTCATTTGAACAGTTCTGAAGGAAGCAGGGCTTTTTTTTTCTTAAAGAATTTTTTTAGTCTGTATATTTGTTGAACAACTTCATGGTGCATTCTTCTCCTCTCCGTCCTATCCTTTCCAGGTTTTGATCCACAGCTGATCCTTATCTTCACTTTTGGGCTCCTGCTGTTTTTCTATTCCGAGACCTTAAGCAGGTAAGATGGAGGGAAGGAGTAAAATAATTTTGCACAACCAAATAAACGTTAGAGACACAGCAAGTAAGCTAAAGATGGTGATGGTTAATGTTTTGTTTTTTTTTTAAAAAAACATGTAGTTGTAGTTGTAAATGGGTATTGATTTTTAAAAAGTACTTAAGTTTTGAATATCTCACTTCAGACGTAATAGAAACCTGCTGTCACTTTTTCGTAAGAGAGGGGAATGTGTTGGCCTTCTGTAAATAGTGTACTATTCGACATGAACAGTTCATCCTTTCCCTTGCGCAAACTCTCTCATAGCCACCTGCTCAAAAGTAGTCATCTAGAGGTTTCTATCTTTACCAAAGCCATCTCGACCACTTCCTCATTTCTTTTTTAACAGCCATGTTGTCCTGCTTGCTGCAAATCTGCAGTTGTACTCCACCCCTGCGAAATGTGTCTGTTTACCCCCCCGCCTCTGCCCCATCCATTTGTAATGCTCTACAAATTCCAACATTTCTCTAGCCTTGCACCCATCTCAACCCAGGTACTACAATTAATCTACTCAGCAAATCTCTTGCCTCTCTTGGCCCTTGTGGTTTCACTCTTTTTTTAATCCCTGCTGTTTATATGGTATACTTCCTCATTTCATTCTTGAATCCAAAGGCTGCAGGGTGGAGCACAATTTGTGTGTCATTGCCCTTATGTGCAACATTTTAAAAGCAGCACAATGATCTGATACCAGAAGCACTTCATAAGTATGTATTAAAAGTAGGTAGTGCATCTAAAAGCAATGCAAGACCCAGGTAGAAGCGGCAGTGCAACAAACCAATCTAAATAGGCAGTGCAATTAAATGCCGTACTACAAGAACCAGGTGACAGCAGCAGTGCAGCAAAGCATGGGCAAAAGGCAACTAAAGAGGCCATGCAGCAAAACGCATCAGAATGGGCAGCACATTGTAAACATAATGCAACGCATAGGCCAGGCAACCACGGATGTGCTGCAAAATACGTTGGGATAGATAGTGCACTTAAAGACCTTGCAAGAATCAAGCAGCAATGGCATTTGCAGTAAAGCGCATCAGAATGGGCAGCACA